TTTTAGTCGCAATCCAGCTAATTGTTTTACCAGACTTATTTTAAATCGTTTCTAAAATATTAAGCCCTCTTCTAACCATTCTTTAGTCACCCCTTTTAAAACTGAACACGGTTTTGGTCAAATTTCCTCAAGTTTTGGCAATTAGCAGAGTATTGTATCAGCTTAAGAGAGCAAATACCTGTTCTTGGAAGGCTCTTTCCTCAGCGAATTAAATGTAGTCATAGTGGGAAAAAATTTCAAATTCCGACTCTACCAGTTTCACTTTAGAAGGTTATTATTTAATAATTAACTCACAGACCGACCCATGTTTGATTTCACATAACAACCTATCTTCTTCGCTTTCCGAATTATAAATGACACTGCACAATACAGAACTGACAAAAATCCGTGGAATTATAAACTAAGAAAACATTCTAACAGAAAAAACAATTACGTAAGTTTTAGGAATACAGTTAAGCAAAATCTTCTTTTTTATCAGACGAATATAGCTCCACAGTGAGCAGGTTTGAGGTGCAGAGTGGCCTGTAGCTGTAAAATAAGTCTTAACAATCCTAAAAGCGTAGCAGATAGGATTATGACGGCAAAATTGGTCCTCTGAATTGGTTAAAAGCGTATCTAAAAATCTTAAAACCGGGAATTTTATATTGTAGGCGATAAACCACTTAATGAAGAAGCGGGTTTTCGAACTAAAGTTTTTTGCTTCTTTAATTCTGGATCAGGAAGGTTTAATCACCAGAGTATTAAAAATCTGGAAAGTCAGTTATAAGAGTATGCTGTTTGACGTTAAGTGACCATTTTACTTTTCGGATGAAAAAAGAGGAGGATTTTCTAAGTAATTTTCATAATTTATTATTAATGTGTGTTATTGAGCAATCAAGCTCGTCTGTTTCATCATCTAGCAGACTCAGGCTGCTGCTTTTACAAAAGGTTTAGAAATGTTTTTTTGCGAGACGGTCTTGTCGCTAAAATCTAAGATTTCCGCTTTCAAAGTATGAGCCGCTGCAAACTTTTTACTCTTGCTGTATGAAGAGTTGCCATTAAATTTTTCTGCCATTCCAATCCACGCAGTTAGAAACATTGTAAAAATTGAGACACGAAGATCATCATGTTTTCAAATAAGTCGCACCAAACAAACGGAAGATCATAGCATAACAGTACAAAAGTTCCCGAAAAAAGTTGAAGTTGGATACGATCTCAATAAGCTGGTGTACAGTAAAATTTTTGGAACTCGAAAGCAAGAAGAGTGTAAATACTAGGCGTTCAATGTGTATTTGGGCTACAATTCTCGTGTAATTACACCGTTTGGAATAATTAAGAAGAGAAAACAAAGTTAGAAAGAAAAACATAAAGCAATAGAAGATGACAGAATTGCACGATGATGAGAATGTAAACTACAGATGAGCCACTATAAAACAACCCGAAAAAACTGATCTTACACCTTTCAAAAAGTAAAACCCTGCACTGTCAAAAACTTATTAAAACAGTGAGATGTCCCTATACAATGAACGCCTCCGCGCGGCTTGGGGATGGGGAGACAGGTGTCGGTATTTACGTACCATGCGTATGACCCTGTTGAGCAAAGATTTACCTCCTTCTTAAATGTCGTCTCTATATGCATTGTCAAACCTCATAGAAGTGTTGAGATTGAAATCTCCACCTGTGAGAAGAAAGTTCCCTAATGTGTAGTAGCAAGTATGATAATCCCCAATTCGCTTGCGAACTGGGTAGTCTCTAGCAGATGATGCCCAGTTCACCCAGAACCTGAGGGGTTAAAACCCTTTGTCTCTCCTTGGCCTCTTGCGAGCTGAATGTTGTGTTTACAGAAAACAACTGTGGTGTATAAAGGAACAAAGCAAGGGCAAACCGTTTGCGGAATGCTGATAATACCGACCTCAACCCGTGAGGGCTGTTTGTCAGGTTTCAACGGGGCAAAAACTGGCGGGAAACCTGCCTGACAATCCACCGTGTGACGTCAGGTAGCCACCAACTTGGAGATGCACATAGAGGTTCAACTTCAAGTTTGGAACTGGCAAATCCCACTGATGTGTACAACTGTTGATGTGTCCCTACCAGATGTCACTCCGTGAGAGGAGTGTGCAGAGTTCTCGGCATCTTGTAATGTGTTGTGAAGTCTTCAAGGGAAGCCGCCTATGTGTGTATCGGACTGCTACAACTGAAAGCAACTGCCATCTACAGGTATTGGTTGTCACAGCAGATGTGAACGTAGCGTTTGAAAGGCCCTGCGGTTAAGTATGTGTTTTTTAGCGTACACTCCTTCTGTTATGGAAGTGTGTGTAGCATACTGCCGGTCTGAATGGTTGTGGGCCCTTTTACGCACAGCCAACGGTGGCCTAATGGGTCGTTGGAAGGAAGCTCGGAGCCAGTGGTTAATCCTCAGAAGCGATACAGTGAGACTAGTGGACGCTGATACTGATTGCACCATAGCTAAGCAAAACAATTTGCAGCAAACTGATATCTGTGTAAATGCACGAAAACAAAATTTTTGAAAGAAAACTCTTTTTTATTTTGAATTATAAGGAAAAACGTCAGAAAAAAAGCAAGATACTTTTTTAATTTACTTTATAGCTGTTTATTTTGTATATTAATGAAATAACTGTAAAAAAACTACAGGTAAGTTTTCACAGCAAAAGAGTGTTTTTAAACCAAATGCAAAACTTGACAAAACTCTTCAAAAAAATAAAATTGATTTTTCAAAAGAGTTTGAATAGTAGCTAAGTTAGGATTTACTTATGTGTAACTTGTTATTTCTAACTTCTAAAAGCAAAAATGCGCAAAAATGGATAATTAGGATAATTTTTGCTTCAGAAAAAATGAATGAAGAGAAAGCTCAAATTTGAAAAGAAATGTTGGGTTAAACAAGCTGCAGTGGTACGTACACAAACACTTTTCGCTTTCCTTCTACACCTCATAAGCTAGAAAAAAACTCGTTTTTCCCGATTTATGTATTATCTTTCAGGTCTTTTTTGGCGCACCTTTTAATCTGTATGACTCCAAAAAACACCAATTTGATCTTTACTCTCTTTCTGTTAGCACATTTTCTTCTTAAAGCTCTTAAATTGTTATCTCTAAAATGGTTTATGGTAATAAAAACCTAATACAAGAGATATGCTTCAGATTTTGAGGCGAAATAATGATTCCTCTACCAAATTTAGAGTTATAAAACAACTTTTTAAGATATCGCTTCTCATGTCGTTTATTACGTTTGCCACATTTTTCTGTTACAGCCTTACTGGTAAAATCAAAACAACGCCTCCTCTACTAAATCTAGAGTCACGACACAACCTTAAGAGATCAAATTTCAGGTTTTTTTTTAATTTTTAAAAACGGGGAAAGACAAAGTCTTTCTGCAGTTTAACAATTCTTATCATTCAGCAATGAAAACCAGTGATGTCTTTTAATGACTTAAGAAAAGCATATCTACCTGAAGTGTTGTAACGTACTTCCAGCTTGGCTCCTTGAGTAGTAACCGCATACAGTAGAGGAAGCTCCTGACCATGTTATGACCCGCACCATCAACATCGAACTCTACATCACTTACAATTACATTCTTAAAACATTTTCCAAGAATTTTCATTTTTTTGTGAAATTTTTCGGTAGCCTTGTTGTCGATAATAAAACAGTAGCGGTTCTGTGGAGCATACATGACGTTGAACATCATTTCTTGGAAGTGATAGTCCTTAATTTACTGGTAATGTTTGGTGTTTTTTCTGTTCTTTTGGTCCTCTGTACCAACACTGAATAGTATTTTCCACTGAAAAACGTCTTAAATTGTAAAATAGTAAACTTACTTTATAGACTGTACGGGCGTAGGCAATAGGGAATTCATTTTCATCTTTTGACAGAGGTACTTCTGGATAAAATCCACGTGCGCGGATCTCTTCACAGCTTAGGTTATCTTCAGAAAATTCATTAACAAATGTGCTTCTTTTTTGCGACTGCCAGTGTATCTAAAGGTCGATGCTGTATTTTACTTTTCTTAGTTTCTTTTTCCGATAAAACATCACTAACGAAATGCACTCAGCAGTTATATTGCTTGACCATTTTAAACGTCTTAACGTAATTTAAGAAGAGTTTCCTGAACTAGCTTCGATACTCATAAATTAGGCATTTTTGACACTGCTACCTAAAAACTTCTCAAGGACAAAATCTCGCACGGATATCTTTGCCTGTTCTATTTCTTCTTGCTCAGATTTTCTTTTGAAGAATTTTGAATAAACGAATTTTCATCATTATTCTTCTACACTGAACCATTATTCGCTCTTTACAAACATCTATAACCCTTTATGAAACAGACTGTCGCACTCTGCGGTTGCATTAAAATAATAAGTAACTTACTTCAGTGAGGTTTCCAAGAGTACTCTTAGCTTCATAAAAGTTTCTGCAGTAATGAATTGAAGTGAAGTTGCTTGTAAGTATTGGTGGAAGCTCGACATTTTCAACACTTTTATTTAAGAAAGATTTGCTACTTCCATTTGCCTTCATAGATGAAGTGAAGTCGACTAACTGCTCGAGTTTTGAGAAGCGGTAAGTTGTAGGCAGCAATGATAAAGACGTATTGATATTAACAACATCATTAATATTCTTCGCTAATTGGTAAGGCAAATCAAAGCGGTAACTGTAAAAAATTAGCATTCCAGCGATGGCCACTATACCAGTGACTATCATAATTTTCTTCAAATATTGTGACATTTTTCTGCCGAACTGAGCTGCATGTAATGACCACAACATTACTTTTGAGATGGCGTTCCCGTCTGTAGTAACCAATGCTTTTTGTTTTATCAGTTTAACTGTTTTTAATATAGTTCTTTTTATTAGACTAGAAGTGAGGCAATATGAGAGCGTTCAGCACCTGAGATGATAATTGGTAAACCATATTATTAAAAAGTCGTACTTTAATAGCAACTAGTACCAATTTTTTTAATTCATGAGTCATAAAGTAGAAATAAAGCATTCTCAAAACTTTTTAAAACACTTTTTGTGATCAATTTTTTAATTATTTTCATAAATACCGATGATGAACACTCAGTAATTTGCTATAATTATAACAAAAAAAGATGAAAAAAAAACACTAAAGGAAACAAGGAAAACAAAAAAGTTTGCATTACAACATGTTTTAAAAAAAAGAACTATTCATTGAAATGGAATTGGGCGTAGGTTAACTAGGAAATATAAGCTTTCTGCGAAAAAATTACATATTCTTCTTCAATAGAAGTAAAATAAATTCAGATTTCTTTTTGCAAACACTAAAGAAGTGTAATAAGAATTGCTTAATGAGATGCACTACAAACAGAATACTTTGACACCTGTTTTAAGAAAGCTGCGTTTAAATATTTAAATATTCCAGCCATTAAAAGAAGCGAAAATTTTGAGAACCGCAAGGAATGAAAATACTACCTGCAAACCAGAGAAGGGTTCAGTTTCCCATTGACGATTTAAAAAATAAAGCCATATTGATGCGGAAATAATACATATGATAAAATACTGTTGCTTTTTCCGCAAAAAAATTAGTTCGTCAGACCGTGAGTCCTAAATGTAAATCTGTTTTGCATAAAAATGTATTTGAGCAATCATTTTTTTGAAAAAAAAATGTTTTATTGTATTTACATTGAAAAAATATGTCTATAACGACAGAAAAACTGTTTATTACAAACTTTAAATGGTGCTTTTTGGCAAATTTTGATTTTGATAGGAACTGAACACTTTCTGAGACTATCAACTGCTTTAGTCAGCAGGTAAAATTGCCACTGAATAAATAATTTGAAAAAATGCCAGTTGTGATTTGAATAGTCAGTTCATTAGTTGTCTAAAAAATATTTTTTATTACACTCGAAAAAATTAGAAGATAAGATACAAAGAAATGCAGAATTCTGAATTAATAAACGTTTTTAACTTTTGTTTACCTATTTTCTTTCTCAAAGACATCGTTCGCAAATAATGATACACATTAACGACATCCGCAAAGTGCACTTTTCTTTTTGTTAACAGATGCAAAAAATAAAGTTTTTCTTGGCTAAAAATATTTTTCATACCACAAACAATTTCTTGTCTTTATCATGTTTATTGTGAAATTTAGATAGTAACAATCACCACTATAACAGTGTAATGAAAAAGTATCGTTTTTCTTGGTTAAACTGTTCTATCCTTTCAAGCACAGCCGCTAAAAATGTGAAACATTGCCATTGTGACTTTTTTAAATATACCTTCGCTAAGGCAAGTGTTCCATTCTAATGAAGAACAAACGGGGTGAATCAGAGAAAATAAATTTGGAAAAAAACTTAGAAAAATGTTGCGGATTTAACCGTTTTCCAATTTTTTCTTAGCATCTTCGTCAAAAACTGAAGAGCAGTCAAATTGATTCCTTTTCTTTTGACTCTACTGGCGAAATTATTCTATTATGTGAAAGCTATGCGTTTGGGTTATCTTAAATAATTTTTTTTTGTGACTGCCTTGCGGCATCATAAAAAGATTCCTTATTTAAAAATTTCCGCCTTGACACTTTATGGACGTCAACACATCGTCTACTGACGGTGTGTTGATGTCCGTAAATTTGTTTGACGGCTTAAATACTTTCTTTCTCATCCTTCTTTCTTTCTCCACCAAACTGATACAAAAAAAAGGTCTAGAGTTGCTGGTAAAAGCTGTAGGAACAACCCAGTTTCCTCCATTTACTCTTGCCTTAGTGCCTTTCACCTGTCTCCCCTCCCTCTTTTCTCAAAAAAAAAAAAAGTGGAAATATGTGAATTTGTTTTTAAAAAAATAAGTTTTTAAAAAATAAGTTTTTAAAAACTGGAAAAAATCTTGCTTGGTAGCAAAGCGACGTTTGCACACCTGCAGCGCACAGTAATATAGCTTTTTAAATGCAACATATACAATCCAATCTTTCCCAAAATAAATTCCTCAACAAGTAGAAAAATCAAGAGAGGACGATTGATTGGTTGAAATTGAAATAAGAGTTAAAACTTGCTTCTTTGTTTTTCGAAAACCAGTTACCAGCAGCTTAGCAACGAATAAGCAAGAAGTTAACTTGACAATCGTCTCAAATCTTTTCAATCCTCTTCAGTTTTTAGTTGGCGGCATTTGAAAGGTTGTCCAGTTAGCTCATTAATGTTCAAATAGTATGCAACTGAATCAATATTGTTCAAGTTCTTATTACTTTCTTTCTCATCATCAATATTGAATCAATTCAGAATTTATAAACTGTGATCGTTTGAAAGGCTTCAGTTAACTCTTGAACCGTTGTTAAAATAAGGTGATATTCACACTGTTACAGCCATAAAAAGGTAAGTTATTGGCTATTAATGGGAAAGAATTCAGTACCATTGCGAAACAATTCATTTTGACCCGTAAGATTAAAAACCTTCTCTTAAATGTGCACTTATATGACTAATGCCATGCTTATAAAAACTTTCCAGTGCAGATTTATGGACGTTTGCTGCAAAGATTAATTTATGCAACCTACTCTGAACAGAAAAGAAATAATAATTTGTTAGTGGCATAAAGTTGAGTCTTGCACCAGCGAAGCAGTTGCAATAACTATTTGATGTCCGAGTGGACGAGGGGTTTGTCAAATTATTCTTAAGTTGTAATTCAAGCTTTTTAGAGGTGATATGACTAAAAACTGCGTAGTCTTTCAGATAATTTTCAAAGTAAATGAGATAGAAGAATAAATAAAATTTGAAAGAAAATTTTATACAAATTTAAAAAACAGTTATATGAGCAATTTAGTCTATATGCTAAAAGTGATAATCCTCAAAACGTTTAGTGACATAGAAACAAAAAAAAAAAGTTTTGAATCTTATGCTTGCACATAAAGATCTGAGGGACTGGAAAGTTTTATTTTGGAGAATCTAAATCTGACTTTTCAAGGAAAGAAGGGATCCACAAAATAATTGTAGAGTGAAAGGCAACGTTGTTCTAAATGACAATCTAGAATGTACCAACACAACTCGCAAGATTTTCCGACAGAGATGAACCAGTGGGAAGTGATCATTCTTTAAGTAGACCGTTTTAACTTCACAGCCAGGAATTAAAAGCAGTTATTAAAGCTTACTCGACAAAGACTGCTCATACAACAATTTTTCAAAGAGTAAGGATTTACATCAAACACTCGGCTGGCGTTTGCATGCTCCAAAACAAATACCCTATGAGCCCACCTGGTGGTACTGAGTTACGCTTGTCCAGCAGTGCCGAACTGTCTTTCAGCAGTTCAATACTGTTCACTTTTTGGACCGGAATGTTACTTTTGAAAAGTTTGGGTTCTGTGTTATAAGCGGAAAAGGATGGGTAGTGGGCAAATGTCAAACAGCTCTCAGTCGAGTGGCAAAGGTGGTCTGCACCAGTCAAACATAACGGCCTATTGCAACATTTGTTATAGAGGAATCCATGTGTACTTTCAGGAAGCTAATGGGTGTTAATTGGAATTATACTGCAAAATACCATTCAGAATCAGAGGATAAGAACAAAAATTTGAATGAACTATATCCAAGGTGTCAAAATAAAGGTGGGATACTATTACTGCATGATAACAACAGGCAGCATGTGTTAAAGTTGTGAAAAATTTAAAACCATGAGGACGATATTTTGCTATGTTCGTCTAAATCTCCAAGACTTTTCCCTAGTGGCTATGACTTCATTTAAAAAATCTAAGTCATTCACAAAGAAAAGTTACTCAATTCGAGCAGGACTCGTGGAAACTGTTGATGGCAATTTTTTGGTATCTAGGCCTGCTGATTCTTAAATTAATTGCTTGCTAAAACCGCTAACACATTGGCAGCTTTGTATTAATTTCTGAGTTTCATATTTCAGAAGAAGTTTTAACAGGAGTAAAATTAGGAAGTGTTAAAGTAAAACAAACTTGCAAATTATTATAAACTAACCTAATGAAAGAAGCTGTAGTGAGGCCAAGAATACCAACCATTTTTTGAGTTTTCCGGAAGTTTACCTAATT